CGGGACTCGAACCCGTACTTGTCCTTTCCGGGGACCGTGCACTTATCCCTTACACTACCGAGACCCCGCTTGCCCTCGCCTTCTTAAAGGCTTATATGCCATAGCTTATCAGTCCGAGACTGGAGTTTTGCCCACAAATCGCCATGCTTGTGAAACTTTCGCTTCGCGTACTGCGGCGATAAAACAGCAGTTAACAAAACATCAACTAATTTATAAATCTTTCTTCCCATATCCGCTTATAAGTATATCTGCCCAGAAGAACCCACCTTTCCTTTCCTGTGGAGTGTGCGCTTATGCATGAAGCTGCACATGCATGGATAACCAAAACGGAATCAGTTGTTCTTATAGGCATGCTGTCAGGATGCGGTAGGATTAGAGAATCTCCGTGGAAGAATCAGCATCTGTAGAGGGGCTCTCAACAGAGAGACCTCCAGAGCTCGATGTGGACGCGCCCACGAGTATAGCTCAAGAACGGCGTGAAGCACACTATCAGGAGCTTAGTGCTATAAAAAAGAGTGGGTGTTTGATCAGGATCATGTAGTTAAGGTATTTTAAAATACTGCAACATTGAGACATTTTTTAGACATTTGCTGCAGTAGAGGCTACCCCTACTTCTTTAGCTAAGGCGAAACAAAGAACCAATTAGAGAAGATTTCGTCTATGTGGAAGTAGCAGCGGGAGTTGCACAGCAATAAGAACTTTCGGGTCAAAGTTGGTAGACGGCACTACAAACGACATTTACAGAAACAATGTAGTTGTTGAATACTTAGACAGCTCGTCAGTGTTGCCTGAGGCTGTTACTACAGATGCCAAAGTTAGAAGGTTTCTTGTAAAGAAGTTACGGGTATATGAGCACATGTGCATAACCGTATAGGTGTACAGGTATACACATGTATGCAAGAAGTGTAGGACTGGTGTATAATGTGTATAATGTACACACATGCATATTATGTGTATAAGGGCGTGTATAAATATAATAATTGATTGTGGTTTATGCTTTAATCAATCTGAGTGTCATACATATGTTAGCAGGCAACTTTAGATTTTTTAGGCCTCTACTGGAATACATTATGCACTTCTAAATTTCCTTTTATATACTCGTAGCAGCTACAGTTATTGATTCAACTTTTCCATTCGTTTATCCGTCTACTCGTTCGTGTATATTGTAGTCATCTTATAGTGGAATTGTCTCTTACTAATTGATGAGCCACGGGAGTCAATCCCACTAAGTGGTTCGTCTGAGTGTAAGTGGTGAAACGAGTCGCTGCTCTACACTTCGTGTACGCATTGTGTTTACACGTACTGCATTTACACAACTAGTAACGATACTCTTCATTTTGGAAAATGCTGTCGTGGTTTGTTTAATGAGGGTAGCTCATTTACGAAACTAGGATAGTTTCGAAAATTCGGGAAGCTACTAGTTCAATCGCCAGAATGAAAATTCAGTGGTTTGTGACGGGTAAGGGCTCGTGTTCCACCTTACGTCGATAATGTGTATTCTCATTATTACTCCTTTATATGATTCTGACTGTATTCACTGTTATATTAAGAACGTTTAATACTGATTCAACACATCAACTAAGGATCTATCACAACGAATAACTGTACCGTATAGTCATTTCGAAGGAAAGATATCGACCGTTCAAAACGGTGTTAGACCACCACGCACACAGTTCTCGAACAGCAATTTATTTGCACAATAAACAGATCAATTAATCAATTACGCGAGCCAAATCGCAAGTTCGAAACAAATAAAATAAGAAAGAAACAGTCCAGTAGAGCGGATATGAAGGGGTCCAAGCGGGGCTTCGACAAGGCCGTCGTCGTCCTTAAGTACCTTTCTAACTCCCGCCTAGATCACCCCGGCGCTTCGTAGGTCGCTGCAATGATCCCGGTTCGGCCCACATAACAATAATAATAATAACAGCAATACCAATCCTGTTAGCAGTAGTGAGACTTTCGTTCCACCTTGCGTCTACCTAACTTCGCAACTATTTCAGAATTATGGGCTTTTCTCAGACCTTCAAATATAACAATCGTCACATACAACAGAGCACTATATTTTCTTAAATTTATCCCGGATGATTCGTTGAACACAATCTCTTTAAGCATTTCTTCTATCTTCTTTGAGCTCCATAAGCTAAGATTAGCCTAGAAATAAGAAGCTTCAATTGATCGGTTTTGGGGAGCCGGAGCTTTATAATTATAATGTAAATAATGCTAGTGATATTTTCATAAGTTCACTAAACAATATTAATATTAAGTTAGAAATACCTACATATTACAGTTGATGTTACAGTTATGATAGAAATAAAGTGTAAACTAAGACCTCAGCGTTGATATTTTGCTCCATATCTTCAACAGCCAGATTCATGCAAACTACTATAGAAGATACATCTATGAAAACAACAAAATAATATCAGTGTAGATTATTTCCCACAGCACTCGAAAGAAAAATAAGAACATAGTTTTACACCGATAATGCTTTTTACAAAATAGAAAAAAACCAAAGGAGGTAGTAACCATACCAAGCTAATTGTCTCACTTTACGATGCCACAACTCCATCAAAACATATTGCTCTTAATAGAAAAACATTGTACTCAAGAAGCCAGAAAAATGCATACAGNTATCAGTGTAGATTATTTCCCACAGCACTCGAAAGAAAAATAAGAACACAGTTTTACACCGATAATGCTTTTTACAAAATAGAAAAAAACCAATTAATTGTCAACCAACTAATTGTCTCACTTTACGATGCCACAACTCCATCAAAACATATTGCTCTTAATAGAAAAACATTGTACTCAAGAAGCCAGAAAAATGCATACAGGATATTGAACTGACATACACATGGATCTGAAAAATACAACATTACAACAAAGTAGACAAAGAAAATTTTACAAGGATGTAAGAAAGTAAGTAAAATATGTGAATTGCTTCAAGGTACTTAAATATTTGAGGTTCAACATTGCATAATTTATAATAAAATATGATCTTTCAAGGACAATAGGATTTTCAACGTGAATCGATGGTTCAGTAAATAACATAAAAGGATATAATTACAACAAGATCAATGTGTACAAGGTGTGTAGAACATACCCCTTTGAGTTATTGACCGCGATGGCTTTGGTACGTATGGAACATGAGTGAATACTGGCACTTAAAAAGTATTACCTAAGATATAAACATGAAACACAAACTATCAACGAGTTTTATAGATAAGATTAATATAATACCAGTAAGCTAGCTAAAGATACACTGTAAATTGAAGAAATTGCTCCCAGTAAGAAAAAATATTTGTTCGGTGGTCGACACCTCAAACTTGGGTAATTAAACTGCATGTTAATAAACATTAACATTCAACAAATCATTTTAACACCATTATAAAAATCTAATTCTGAGAGGCAAAGATCAGTTACGAAACAAGAAATGCGTGAGAAGGAGAAACCATTGAAAACAATGAAAGAATGGCGTTCTGCTTCAAGTAGCTCCTTTTTATAGGCGATTTCCCGCTCAATAACTATTGACCATCCCAATCCATGCGCTTTGACCACCCGAACCTCTACACTCCCGGCCTCGGCGTCGTTGGAGAGTCATCCCTAGTTTTGTCTCGGTGGCATGAACTCGCAGAATTCCGCCCGCGGCCCTCCCTTCGTCGTCGGTCGCGGTCATTCCATACGGCTTACGTTTCTTTCCACGCCTCCGGCACGTGCTCTTCCGGTGCGCGAATCCTTCCTCTCGGGTGGGGTTTCTCCTCAGTGTCGCGGTGTCTGCCGTTCCTTTCCCACTCTGATCGCGATTCCAAGTCTCTTATCTCTTCTTCCAACCTAGATTCCTTCGATTGGAGGCGTCGACGCTCGATAGCCTCCGTGCTACGATCCTTCTGTCATGTCTTCTCAATGAGAAGATTGGTCTCAAAGGCTTCCTTTCGAACTTTATGGAGCTCCTTTTCTGTTTCGTCCATTTGTCGAAGGATCCTCTCCAGTTCTGGGATCCTGAGTTCTCGCCACATTAGACGTCCCCTCCTTTGCCGGAGGCTGCTCTATGGACCACTTCTTCCCACAAACGCCGGTTGCAATTGAGTCGGTACGACCTGATCTTGTTAGGATGTATGACCAAAGAATTTCCGTTATACACCGACTCGAACGATCACAATCACGCTTTCGAACGCAGTTTTTATCCGTTGTAACCAACAATGTAAAACAGATTATGGCGAACGAAACAAAACAACAGCAAACTCGTGGATTAGAATTAAGATGAGCATGTAAAAAACACCCAAGGAAAATGGTAACGATGAAGGAGGTGAAAGTGCCGTGATGAAATGACGAGGTTCGGTATGAAGGTGTGTGGTATAGCCTCGGCCAAGATGGTACAGCTCTGGCCTGGCCTAGCCAGCCGAGGCTATACCACACACCTTCATACCGAAACTCACACGATGCCAAGTTTTACTGAAAGTCGTTGACGAGGATCAAATGAGAACAACGTCACAAAGCGATAAATAATGACTGAAATGGCAATAAAGCAAATGATCAGCAACAGCCAGCACCGGAAATGCTTGGGTTAGAGCTGTGGCGACACAGGGGTCCTGGGGCGATCCGGAGAGAAACAAATAAAAGGAAACAAATAGAAGGTACGACGAAACAACAAATGTGAGCGACAGCAATAAGTGCGAATGATGTGAGGCGATGAGGTGGATCTGGGGTGAATTGCAAGGGCGAATCTTCTAGAAATTCTTGCGATTCCTTTCGCGGGCGATCACAGTGAGCGGTCGGTCCGTAATCAATGTCTTAGTCGACCCCTCAGCCCTCTAACCCTCCACGCAATGTGCCCAAAAAGAGGAAGCCAATGTCCCCCATTCTGGCGAATATTCCCTCGAATGCTGTTCTAGACTATGATGCTGCTAAGCTGCTGAGCAATATTCAGTATATTCTAGCTGCTAAAGCCACAGAAGCGCTTCCTTTATTGGATCAACTGCTTACGAAGGTACCTTCTCTATCCCTGGATGCAGTTCATTCCGAAAATCGTGAGCGTTCCATCGTGATTCGTGGTGACCCGGAAGCCGACGCTGGTTTATCCGCATCACTTCGACAGCAGTTTACTCCAGGGTGTGTTTCCGAAATTCTTGACGTTCTTGACATCGAAACTCGGCCCATCGAGGTGTTCCGAATGGACAAAGTTGGTTAAAAGCCCAGACTGATCAAATGCGTTTTAACTTCCAAGAAATTTACCTTCCAAACTCTCTCTAAAGCTGAACAATTGCCTCTTCAAGTATGCCAAACTGAGCGGTGATTGGACCGAGTACAGAGATTTCTCGGACAAATTTTCAAAGAAGCTCATCAAATTCAATAGCAGTATTGAAAAGAAGATCATAGAATTCAGTAGTAAGCATTGATTTTTCAAGTTTATCANGTCTAAACTCAAAAGCAAATCTTTATTCACGGATCTCAAATTGCAAGATAGACTCCTAGTGAACGATTTTGATAATGCCCTTGCGACTGTGTTTAGCAAAGTGTTCCAAGACGACAGCAATGATTTCCCTCCATTCTCGCCATATATCTCAAAGCGGATGTTGACTTTTCCTCATTTTCATGCAAATGATATTTATGAGCTTCTGAGCAAGTTGTCCTGTTAACCGTCGATTACACCTGACCATGTTCCGATTGAGTTCATTAAGAATATTGCTCACGCTATTGCTTTCCTCTTGTCCTACTTATTTAACCAGACCATGATGTTTTCTCGAATTCCTAGATTGTGGAAGCACTCGTACATCACACCCATCACACCCATCTTGAAGATACGTACAGTACACGTCTGATGTTTCTAATTACAGGCCCATCAGCATTACATCCATTTTCTGTAGGATGTTTGAGAAGCTGCTTAAAGAGCATATTCTTGAGTATCTTGCAGAGAACAAAGAGATTCCTGATTCACAGCATGGTTTTGTAACAGGAAGGTCTGTAGTTACGGACATGCTTGAATCACTTAATGACTGGACAGAGGCTTTAGGTAAAAAGAGAAGTGTTGATGTAATCTACTTTGACTTCACCAAAGTTTTTGATAAAGTCAGTCATAAAAAGCTGATCTATAAAATTCGTGAGTTTGGTTTCCATGAGAAAGTGTACAAGTGGATAGAGGAATACCTCAGTGAGCGTAGTTATCAAGTTCGCATAAATAACTCTTTTTCGGAAGTCCTTCATGCAAAGAGCGGGGTTCCTTAAGAAGGGGTATTATCTCCCATTCAATCTCGTACAGTGGTCCACAGATTGGCAAGTTCCTCTGTCTCATACCAAATCCTGTCATATGCACTTGGGTCCTCCTGGCTCGTCCGTTTACTTCAGTAATACTAAGGAGGTTTCGAAGGTTAATGAAGTTAAGGACCTAGGGTTTCTATACAATGACAAACTTGACTTCTCGTCTCATTGTGACCTAACCTGCAAAAAGAACCTATCATATCTTCGAAGCTTTAACAACCAAGGACACTCGAACACTGATCTCGGCTTACAAAACTTACATCCGTCTATTAGTTCAGTATGGGACCGTGGTATTCTGCCTGCATAAAGAGAAACACATTGCTTTGATCGAGAAAGTCCAAAATAATTTCACCAGAAAAATCCTGATTAGTCGCGGTGGATTACTTCATTTAAGAATGCCAAAGGCCGAAATACGGAACAGCTATTACGATCTTCCTTCTCTTCAGTCCAGGCGAACTTTCTTTGTCTTATGTATGATTCATTATCTGCTCAGCGAGAAATCCGCGGTTTAATGTTTCTCAGTTTTTCAGCCTTATTCCATCTATCACCAGGGGCGGCCAGCTCAAATTCTCTTTTCCCAGACTCAAAACCACCATCAGGCGCAATTTTTTCACTGTCTGAGCAGGTCTTTTTACCTGCATTTCAGTAAATCCAACTGCTTCTCAGGCTCTCGGGCGTCCTTCAAACGCACATTAGCAAAACTCATACAAAACTAGTAAGGCATAGATGGTACCATCCTTCCATTTCTAAACAAGTTGCTGTTATTAGTCCTTAGTGTTGCTGGTATTGTTTTTTGTTAGTCGTTTCTAACGTTGTCTTTTACTACGTACTGCTAAATAGATGAATAAATAAATAAATTCCTTGTTGGGTTCCTACAGTAACAGCGGCAGGCTTTTACTGGAAGAAGAGCGAGCTCCTGGACATAAGTAAGAAACGGGCGACTGAAAATATTTGAGGGTTGGTTCCCACCCTCTTCCCGCGCAAACTCTGCAGTAGATCATTAATAATCGTAGATGAAGACATTGGCACGCTGGCTCCCCTCCTAACAATTGGTACTCACAGCTCAGCAACAAGTCCCTGATTGCGTCCAATTTTGGCGTCTGTCGTAGTAGGCTCATGCAACACTGACGAGCTGCCCCTACATCGCTTCTATAAAAGTTGTTTGATATCACAAGTGAGTGAAAATTCAAAAAAAANAAAAAAAACAGAAAAAATAATAGGTTTTCTTCATATTTGAAGAGATTTTGGACACGAATTTATTGCGATTTTTATCATGTGCGGTAGTGAAACTCTCAAACTCAGATCGAGATATTGAGAGTCTTCCTGTCCGGAGACCTTATATTCTATTAAGTTCTCCTATTTAGGATAACGACCTTTCTAGGGCATTTTGAGTGTCGACCGTCGTTTTTTCAGTATTTCTTGCTTTGCAATGGTTCTGTATTTGTTTTCGTTTATTTTTATTCTATTTTCGTGAAGCTCTAGTACATTTATATGCTTAGTGGCTTTTCAGCTCAGGGTTGCTGGACTGAAAATTTGCAAAAAATCTGTTGATGAGTCTAGATGTTCATCACATGATAGATTTGTGGGCTTTGATGGAGATTAGTCTGTTTGGCATTACGTAAAACTTATCGAAGAAGCAGGAATTGGAATAGGTCTGGAGTTTGGAAAAAGCGTGAAAGATTTGTAAAGTCGATAATGTCTCGCAAATCGATCTTGCACCCAGAACAATGACACACTGAAACTGTAGTTTTCTTCGTGAACTTATTGCTTTCGGCTTGTTTTCGCTGTGTTTTCATTGCCTCTTTCTGTATTTTTGGTGCTTTTTGGTCGTGTTATCTTTTCCCCTTTTGCTTTTTCTCTGAACAAGCGCTAGCATTAAACAACACGCAATCTTGTTGTTAAGAGAACAGCCAATACTTTCAATATTCGCCGTTCATGACAAGCGCGTCATTTACTTTTCTGCCTTTGTAGTCATTCTTTTTTCGGGCTTTAATATTGTTGGTGGTGCCATGTGGCAGGTGCAGAAAACATCAGGAGCGCGAAGGACGGGTGAGCAAATTTGGTTTTTTTGCTCTTCATTTAAGTGGATTCAGCTCTTTATATTTTTGCTCATTATTCATTCTATGGTCAGATCTATCTTTTGTTCTTCTTTAATATGTTATGGGGATGACGGAAGTGAGATTGAAAGGAATAAGTTTCACTCATTATTTTGTCGCTTAAATTTGTGGTTGATGCAGGTCCATGAAAGGTGTCGTCTCCGTCGATTTCCTTCATCGATCCATAGTACAATGAAGATGAGCTGCACGTCGAACACAGGTGTTACCTACCAATTCGTGGTTGAACGAGTGGGCCAGTAAGCAAGACCTGCCGAAGTAGATTTCGTGAATGGACTTGCCAATTTTTGTGTACAGTGCATGTGAGAAAAATAAAAATGTATTATTCCATTCGTGAAGAATTACTCTACACTATAAACATAAACAATTTGTGCTTAAATGTAAGGGTCGGTTGGCCAACAAAACAGAGTTGAGTACTTCCATCTTCTTTGTCTCTAGTTCTTGACTGCACCTGCGAAGAACAGATGCCACGCATTTCGTTGAAAAGTAGCTGATGAAAAATTGGGTGTCCTACAAGTAACAAGTTGGCCTAACCCGAAGCATTCAGACTTATTATCCTTTTGCGTCGCTTCCTTTGCAGCTACATACGTTAGCAGCACATTCCATCACGCGAGTTAAAGCTTCTTTCAAAATCGCCGAGGCCTCTGAACCTGTTATATTCAAACCGCAACCATCTTACAATGCCCAGGTAAAGCAGCATAAATCTGTCGGGGCTCTTTATTTTTTGCTCATGCGTAGTTAGATTGGGGCCTCCATGACCCCTCAAATTGCTGCTACACGAGATGCCTAAAGTGTGCACCGCCGAACCACAGCCAGACGGTCACGCAAAGTGTCACTTTCAAAAAAAGTTCAACAATTATTAACGTCGAACAGAACAAAGTTGCCTTTAGAGAATGTCTCAAGAAAGTTTCCGAAAAAGTAAGCTATTTAAGAACTCAATATATTGGTAGAGTTCCAATTTTCAATGATGAATGAACTAATTATTTGAGAACATTTTATATTATTACCCGAGGTCACAAGAACGTGCTTGAATGCATTCGATATAAGAAAGCGTCCGTCAAGCTGTTGCGTGGACAATCTATTCAGCATGTTCTGATAAAGAGTGTTCAGAGTATGGTATACGAGAAACATTGAGCGTGTTTTGTTACTTATATGAACTATAGCACTCAGCTTGTACTTACGACAAAAAATTACAAAAAATTAAAAATTATTGAAAATTACAAGAAACTACTCGTCATGCATTCAGAAATTCCAGACATAGTCGTCGAAGGACTCCCCGTGATGCCTAGAGACCGGCAGAGCAATAATTCCTTGGAAAGTATCTATATGTATTATACAATGTGCACTACAACGTATGACTTCAGCATGCATTAAATATCCTTACTATATATAAAGCGCTCTGTCTGTCTGTCTGTCTGTCTGTCTGTCTGTCTGTCTGTCTGTCTGTCTGTCTGTCTGTTTGTTTGTTTGTACGGAAATTCGATATAACGTGAAGAAGCACCTGGAGAAGTCGGGTCAAGTTTGAAATGGGTTGAGCATAGGGTAGGTGCAACAGAGCACACGTGGGCCTAGCGGAGCCCCGCTCCAAAGGGGCGGGGCATGCGCCGGAATTGGGCGGGGTCATGGGCGAATTCTTCTAATTCGGTCTCATAACATTCCAGACACCGGGAAAAAATGTGCAAAGGTGAGGGATGGGTCAAAAATCAAAATAAAGGAAACTTACCGGCGGTGGGCGGAGCGTTCTCGCAGTGGGCGGTACTTCCCACAGAGATTCATAACTCGATTTAACGAAGGCGTCGAGGCCAGGGAAAAAAATGAA